TGAGTGCGATCTTCATGACTATTGCAAACAGCATGAGGAGAGCAGCTGCTGCTCCGACACAAATCAGTAAAACCACCATATCATTAGCAGCTGACAGAAGAAAGGAAACAAGAGGGACATTAGAAATACTATCTATCTATCCATCCATCCATAATATTTTATATAAAAAAACTAAACATTTAAAATAAAAAATTAATTAATGTATTTATTTATTCATCATTTATTATTATTATTATTATTTGATATCATGGTCAGTCATTCCATCTGCTTCACAGAACGAATCAGTCAGAAATAATGAGCAGTACAATCACCTTCTACATCAATAGTTATAGTAGAGTTGTAGTTCCCACAAATACTTTTAACCTTGCAGTTGATGACTGAGGTTTTTGGAATGTACTTGATTTGAAATGTTTCTTCATTTTCTTTTTCCTGTAATTCATTGTCCTTTAGCCAGCTGATGGAGCCTTCGGGAACGTCATGAGTGCAGTTAACAGTCACGGTCGCACCCTCTTGAACTTTGGTGGAGGAGGTGTATATGGTCACGTTAAAATCTGGGAAGGAGAGCAAAAGGTCAAAGGTCGTCATACATTTCATCTGTTTACAAATGATATCTAACAGATGAAGTAATTTTCTTCTTGAGGGTTAATCACTATCTCCAGTAGCATTGTTTGATCAGTGTTTCAGGCAATAATGCACAGTACTTGTACCTTTTATCGTGCAATTTGGCTGAACATCTGGGGAAAAGGAGAATGGAAACAGATTTAATGCATTCTCAAAAACGGAATTATTTGTGTCATTATATATTTTGTATTTTTTTATACTTTCAGACATTTCTGATTAGTATGGAAGCTTGTTTCCACCACAGGATAAAAAAAAAGTAATTGCAACTCTTTATCTCACAATTCAGACTTTTTCCCTGCAATTCTGAGTTCTGAGAAAAAAAAAATTGCGTGATATAAACTTATTTTTTTATTCCTTGGTTGGGAAAAAAACAGAGATGTGAGATTTAAAATCTCTTTTTTATCAGATTTGCAAAATATAAGCTCAGAATTGCAATAAAAAAGTCCGAATTTTGAATTAAAATCTTGCAATTCTAAGTAATTATGTTGCAATTCTTTTTTTTATTTATTTATCTGTGTTTACTTCTCAGAAGCGTGAGTAAAATGTCATAATTTATTTTTGTATTTCATAGCATTTGCTGTTGATTACACAACTTTTCTTTCTCCTAAACTAGAATTTCTTCACTAATTTTTGAACACGCAAATATGAAATGAGCACTTTAATACAGTTTAAATTCAGAATCAAAAAAACTAAATGTAACTGACCGTTGGTGCAGTTATGTGACGTGGATCGGCACAGTGGACATGCTTGAGATAGAACAAAGAAATATAATCAGGTTATTTACAAAAGTGGAATGTCAAATACATTGTGCAGGTTCTCTAGACTCTACCTTGTGCTATATTTCTACCTAGAGGTTGAGAACAGTTCAAACATTCAACCGGTTTACACGTTTCAGCTTGTCCAATGCCTGCACCTACTGAGAGAGAAAAAGACCATAAAATATATTGGATACAATATTAACCTCACAAAATTAAAAAATGGAAATCATGTTTTCTTTTATCGTTTGACAGTTGGTAAACATAACTTCCATTTCTGACCTGAGGGACTGATCATTTATTTCCAGATGTTTCTTGATGATCTTTTCCTGCTTGTATTTTATTCTAAACTAAAAAAATAACAGTTTCTTGCTGACTATATACTGAGCAACTTTCTTTTGTGATATTATCCTCTAGGTAGTGACATTATGAAACAACCGCACAAATCAGACCCTTTCTTTAATCGGAACATGCTTCATAACTCCTTGTTCAAGCTCTTGTTCTATCCAGGCTGGACTATTGCAATGCTCTCTTGGCAGGTCATCCAGTCAGTTCTATCAAACCTTTACAATGAATCCAGAACGCTGCAGCAAGATGAATTTTTAACGAGCCGAAAAGAATGCACGTCACATCTCTGTTCATCAATTTGCACTGGCTACCAGTAGCTGCTCACATAAAATTCAAGGCATTAATGTTTGCCTACAAAACCACCACTGGCTCTGCACCCCTTTACCTCAATTCATTACTTCAGACTTATGTGCCCTCTAGAAGCTTGCGTTCTGCAAGTGAACGTCGCTTGATTGTTCATCCCAACCAAGCACAAAATCACTTTCACGGACTTTTAAATGAACTGTTCCCTCCTGGTGGAATGACCTGCCCAACTCAATCCGAGCAGCTGAGTGCATATCCATCTTCAAGAATCGGCTAAAAACACATCTCTTCCATCTTTATTTGACCCTCTAATGCTAGCACTCTCTATTCTAATTCTATTCTTTATTAAAAACAAAAAACTAAAAAACGC